TACGATAGTGTAGTGACTCGGAAATGAAATCAAGTGCACAAAGAGAGCTAAAATAACATAGCATCTTATCTGTGCATTGAACGATATGCAAAGCATTGTCTCGAAAATGACAGTGTACAGCGATTGCGTGTGTTCGGCCGGTGAGTGTGACGAATACCGATTGATTCATTCTCACTCTTCACTCAAGCGATGTGAGTTCAACACAGGCTGTGTTGCACAGCCATCGCATGCGTTTTACAGTGTAGCTGTCAAAATTGGCATCGCTAATTGTTCGTTCGATTCATAAATTACCAATTTAGTATCGATTCAATTTGTTCAATTCAACGTACTGCGCATAATTTGATAACAAATTCCGATTGAAACACGTTTATTGTAGGTGGCATCGTAGCACATCGGTATTGTTGATTCAATTTGCTGTGCCTTTGAAATGGTTTCTTTCAATTTTGTGTTTTCTAAAGTCGGCTCAATGGAATGAATGTCTTTTGAAATGGATGGCGACCAAAAATTCTTCATGAGAACTGTTGATTTTAACGATCAGAATGAATTCAAATCATAAAAAATAAGTGGAAAAAAATGAAAAGAAAAAATTTAATCGAAAAAAAAATCATAAGAAATCGAACCACCGAACTTTAGGTCACCAAATATCGCTCTTAACCACGGAGCCACCGCGGCTACGAAAGTGTGGTGACTCGGAAATGAAATCAAGTGCACAAAGAGAGCGAAAAGAACATAGCGTCTCATCTGTTCGTATGCAAAGCATTGGAACGTTGTTTTGGCAGTGACAGTGTGCAGCAAGTGAGAAGCATTCGGCTGTGCGTGTGACGAGTTTAGAACGAAATATGCTCGCTCTTCACACTTGCAGCGTTCGTATTACAGCCTCATTCGTCTACACTGTTGCTGTCAAAATTGCTTCATTTGCTGCGAAGTAATCGATGACGTTTCTCGTTGCTCATCGCATCCAGTGCAAAACACACACAGAACTGCTGTGAATCGACTAATTCTAATATTGAAAATGGTTTGATTTTTTAGCATATTGAAAGCATAATGTGTGCGATGCAATATTCTTCGCTAACGATATGTTTTGGCTTCCGCGCTTCGTACCCACGTTCGATTGGCGCCACTATTCTTCGATTATTGTTTTCCAAACACGCCATCCTTTTCATTCTGCAAAACAAACACGAACCAATGATTTTCAATTATATGATTCACAGATACCGAAAAATACACGGTCCACTGCCTTATTTATGTGGTTAAAACATTGAAATCCTTTTTACTGAATGTCTCAATCGATTCTAACAACAGAAAACATTGATATTCGATGCAAATGAGAGAAACATGTGTGTACATTTTTGATGTGGTTCAGACATTGTTTTTCATGAGAATTGTTGATTTCAACGGTTAGAATAAGTTCAATTCAATAAAAAAACAAAACAAAAAAAATACAAAAGTGAAAAAAAAATTTAATCGAAAAAAAATCACATGAAATTGAACCATCGACCTTTCGGTTACCCAATATCGCACTTAACCACTGAGCCACCACGGTTACGGTAATTAGGCGACTCGAAAAAAGTATCAAGTGCACAAAGAAAGCGAAAAGAACATCTGTGCGTATGCAAAGCATTAGGATGTTGTCTCGGCAGTTAGAGTGTGCAACTAGTGGGAAGCTTCTGTTGCTGCGATGTAATCAATGACGTTTCTCGTTGCAAAAAGAATTGTGTTTGAGAAATCACAATCGAATGTCGATTATGACATACACTTGGATGCTTTCTTTTTGCACTAAGCCTATTTAAATCGATTCATTTTTCTCTAGAAACAACGAATGTAACCAAACAACAGAAATCATGAAAAAACAACAATTCGATTCGCTTGATTTCAGCCGCTTCGAAGTCTGATTAATGCATTTCGTAACTCTTCTCGACGGGACGGAACGGAACGCCAATTCGGCATTCAGTATTTTGAAATTGAAAAGAAAAAGTCGATGTGATTTGAGATCGAATGGATGCCTCCGACGCGCATGTAAAATATCCGAAAAATGTCTGTTCACAATAGATTATTGGACTCTTTGCGCTCGTCGTTGCTCTTCTCAATTGATGCAACGAATAAAAATGATTAGCAATTTAGACGGTTTAAAAGAAAAGAATAAAAAAAAATGACGAAAAAAAATTTAATTGAAAAAAAACCATAAGGTTTTTTTTTCTCCAAACAACCACCAACTCTAAGCGCATAGCCCCCAATGCGCCCGCCTTCAATTTGGCGAAGGCAGGCATACATTAGGGGCCGCACAATTATCTGCAACACTGCAACATCTGTCCATCGAGAGCGCCGTAATCTGAAATGAGAAGAATAATATTTTTTTGCACAAGCGAGAAATCGAACCACCGACCTTTCGGTCAACACACACCGCACTTAACCACTGAGCCACCATGGCTACGATAGTGTAGTGACTCGGAAATGAAATCAAGTGCACAAAGAGAGCGAAAAGAACATAGCATCTTATCTGTGCATTGAACGATATGCAAAGCATTGTCTCGAAAATGACAGTGTACAGCGATTGCGTGTGTTCGGCCGGTGAGTGTGACGAATACCGATTGATTCATTCTCACTCTTCACTCATGCGATGTGAGTTCAACACAGACTGTGTTGCACAGCCATCGCATGCATTTTACAGTGTAGCTGTCAAAATTGGCATCGCTAATTGTTCGTTCGACTCATAAATTACCAATTTAGTGTCGATTCAATTTGTTCAATTCAACGTACTGCGCATAATTTCATAACAAATTCCAATTGAAACACGTTTATTGTAGGTGGCATCGTAGCACATCGGCATTGTTGATTCAATTTGCTGTGCCTTTGAAATGGTTTCTTTCAATTTTGTGTTTTCTAAAGTCGGCTCAATGGAATGAATGTCTTTTGAAATGGATGACGACCATAAAAAAGCGTACATAATAGCGCAAATCATGTTCGTTAGGGCGTCATAAGTACTGGAAAAACATCGTTTGTGAAATCGTTCGATCGTTTGGTTCTCTTTCGATTTGTTTCAGACATCAGAAGATAAATGGGAATCAATTAGTCATTTGTCTTGCTCAATAGAGATTTCAAGAGACCGAGAGCTCAAGAGAAAGAGAGAGGGAGGAGGAGATACAGTACGACATATGACATGATTTGAATAAATCTGATATGGTTTTCGTAACTTATTTAAATGGCATTTTGTATAACATGTAGTTTTACAACGCCAACCATTGTCATATATATCGCGATTCAGGTGTTTGATCTTAATCGGATGGGAGAGTGCAAGCGTGCGAGCGGTACAATTCAGAGTCAGAGTCGAGGCTTATGACATGAAAATCGGCTTAATTGAAAGAATTCATTAGTCATCATGAATACTTTAATACGGTAACATGAAATCTTTATCAAATGGCTCTCACCACATTTCGCAAGCGATGCCATTTTTCTGCTTCGATCTTGATAGAGACAGAGAGAGGCAGAGAAAAAAAACACACTCAACGTAAATAAAGAGTTAATGAATGTGTGGCTTATGCATCGGAAAATCGCAGCGCAATCACGAGCAATCGGATTTAGCGATATGACAATGCAATAAAATTGACTTGAATAAGGCTTGGCTTCGATGATTACTATCATTGCAGTTGCATTTTGTGCACACAAATGCCGTGCACATGCACACTGCACATGGTTACAAATTGGGAGTCGAAGAGAGCCGATTTTCGTTGTTACGACAGATATACCAATGAAAATTGAACATTCATCCGGAGTTTTGTGCATTGTCTTTTTTTAAATCTATTTTCTGTATCTCGTTCCTTCCCGTTAGCGATGATGAATTAAAAATCCGTATTTGGTATTTGATTTCATTACAAGCTGAAACATTTTCTTGTTGTTTTGCGGTTGAAATGCCGCATAAATCGTGCCATTACGATGAGTGGAAAGCACACAGAGAACAACGACAAATACGAACACAACGACAAACGTACACACAGCATGCGATTAATTCGACGTGAATTATGGCTTAGGCCATTGTTGTTACCATATACCCATTCTTAGATCAAATGGAATGATGTTTCTCGTTGGTGGTCACATACTCACCGAATGAAACATACGTATGCGACACGATTGACAATCATAAATCAATTTGCTTTGATTGGCACCTTAGGTCTAATTAAAGATGAGCGCATCGAGCATCAGCGCACATTTGTAGAGCAAATTTCTTACATTTCACGAGTTGATGCTATCAATGCCAATCAACCAACACTTATATCGCATTACGCCACGAACATATTTCGCACTCTGTAATTATACCTTAATTTAATTGACACTGAAAGTTCAGCGAACAATCGGGCACTTCATTGATGATTATGCAATTGACATTCGAATGGATTTTTTTTCTATGTTGATTTCGTTCGACATCATTTCATTTTGAATAATCAATGAACGTTGAAAAAAATGTCAATAGATCACACTGGAGTGATCAGAGGTGATATTGACAAATTGTCATTCAAATTTAAAAAAAAATGCTTTTATTTCAGATGATTTGATTAACTCTCAATCAAATGGTCGATTCCAATTGGGATGAACTCAACCACATACACACAATCATCGATGAAGTGATGAAGTTCACAATACGAACTGGAATTTACTCCATTGTTCTCGAAACTATGTGATAAAATATGAGATTCATGATAGTCAAAGCCATAAATTATCATCAATTTCGAATTTATTTTCGAGTATAATGAAAATTATATCCACACACACACACAGTCAAGTGTTTCGATATATGCATTTCAATTAAAATCGAGATATTTTGAAGCGATAACCGCTTTTCCTAGAATATTTTATTTCAATATAATTGAGCACTGTACTTTGATATATTGTCTTTTTTCTTCCCATTGAATGAAGAAAAGAAAAGAAAAAAAAAACAAAATAATCACATTCAATAGAATAAATAACAAATTCCATTGTTTTCTTTTCTCTCTTCCCTTTTTGTTTAGGCTCATTTGGTGTCAGCATTCGAACAGAGTTTAAGTAATATGACGCAGCGATTGCAACAGCTGTCAGCAACGGCCGAACGCAAAGATGGTGAACTGATGGAAATGCGCCAAACGATTGAGCTGCTGCGTAAACAATCGATTCAAGCTGGTTTGACGACGGCTCACATTCAAAGTATGAGCAACACAGATCAACCAACGAATCGTCTATCGTCCACAAACTCCCTTGAAAGTACACCATCAAATGGAACAACATCGAAAATTTCGGGTCAATCAACAACGGCCACAATTTCCGATGCTCCATTGGAACGACACCTAAGCTCGGATTCAATGTGCTCGCTGAACTCAATTAGCTCAGGATGTTCGACACAGGATAAAAATAAGAAGAAAACCGGATGGTTGCGAGAATCGTTCAAAAAAGCCTTCACTCGAAATGCCAAATTAGGGAAAAACGGTCGATATGTCACGACATTGGAACAGATTCCATCGAGTCATTCGATCAGCTTGAATTCGTCAAATGAAACAAATACATCGTTGCCACCGCCATCGCCGACCAAAGGCAGTCCACATCGAATGATGCCGGTGGTAGAAAATGCCAAACCAATCGATGCCATCGAAGAGGAAAACAATCCGGTGGTGGAGGATTTAAAGAAACAACTCAGAGAAAAAGACTTAGTGTTGACTGACATTCGCCTAGAGGCGTTGAGCTCAGCATCGCAGCTGGAGAGTCTCAAGGATACGGTCAACAAGATGCGACAAGAAATGATGAATTTGAAACAGAACAATGAACGGCTTCAAAAGATGGTGACAAGTCGATCGTTGGCTGGCAGTGAGGTGTCATTGGGCAATAGCGGTCCGATGAGTCCGAATGGTTCGATCGGTGAACCACGGCGATACAGTTTGGCTGATGGCAATTTACGCCCGGTAAGTTGGCTCATGAATTTTTTTTTTTTATGTATAAGCAGCGTCTCTGTGTATGAGTCATATCTTAACGTATCAACATTTTCCTTTTTGCCACACCACTAACCATTCATTCTCTCTTTCTTCGCCATTTGCAGCCTTTGGATTTACCAAAGAGTTTAGATGAAACCGAAGAAGAAAACATTCCACCAGCTCCAGCACCCGAACCAGATTCGTTGAAGCAAAACTCGGATTTGAGTCCAACACATTCACACTTGAATGGAAATCATTCGGATCATTTGTCAACGCCGGCCGAAGAGATTCCAGAAGATCAAATTGATGGCAAGAAAATTTCAATTGTCGTTTATTTGGGACAACCCGAATCATTCACTAAATACGCTGAAGAACTGTTGCAAACGGAGAATGAATTCTTTGAGCAGAAAATCGGCGACATTCATGAGAATGGTTTCGAGAAGAAGCAATCGTTCTCATTGTGTTCAGCATCGAATGAATTCACCATTGCGTACACGTACATTTCGGGCAAAACTACATGGCAAAATCTCGATTACATTGTGCGCAAAACATTCAAAGATTACTTGGCACGAATTGATCCAGGTACGAATTTGGGCTTGAACACCGATTCCATCACATCGTATCACTTGGGCGAAGCAAAACGAGGCCCAGAAATTGGCTACCCCGAATTGCTGCCATGTGGATACATTATTGGCAGTGTTCGTTCGCTGTACATTTGCTTGCAAGACGTTGGATCGCTCGCATTCGACAGTTTGATTCCACGCAGCATCGTTCAACGATACATTAATTTGCTCAATGATCATCGCCGATTGATTTTGTGCGGCCCAAGTGGAACGGGAAAATCATACTTGGCCAGAAAATTGGCCGAATTCCTCGTTACACAGTCACAGCGTGATAACCCAAATGAGGCGATCGCAACGTTTAAGTGAGTTTCGAATCAAAAGATGTTTTTTTCACGGTTCAATCGCATTTTTTCAATCGCTTTTTTTCTTCATTTCGTGCAATTGATTTTTAATGTTCGAATTTTTTCCTTCTTTTTCGCAGCGTGGATCACAAATCATCCGAAGAGCTACAGCATTATTTGGGCCACATAGCGGCTCAGGCATCAATGGCAAATGGCGTATCAGAGCTACCATCTGTGATTATTTTGGACAATTTGCACCATGCATCAGCGCTTGGTGATGTGTTCCAAGTGTTGTTGAGTGCTGGTCCAGCATCAAAATTGCCGTGCATAATCGGCACAATGTCACAGGCAACATGCAATACAACAAATCTACAATTACATCACAATTTCCGATGGGTGCTCACAGCCAATCACATGGAACCGGTTAAAGGTTTCTTGGCTCGTTTTTTGCGTCGACGTTTGTACACACTTGAACTAACGACAACCACAACGCAATCGCATTTAGCCTCAATATTTACATGGCTTCCGACCGTTTGGCAGCACATCAATCGATTCCTCGAAACGCACAGCTCAAGTGATGTGACAATTGGGCCACGGCTATTTCTATCGTGTCCGCTTGACATAACCGATGCTCAAGTTTGGTTCACCGATGTGTGGAACTATCATTTGGCACCGTATCTGCTGGAAGCAGTACGCGAAGGTGTTCAATTGTATGGACGACGTGGTGGTGCTTGGATTGATCCAGTCACATTTGTACGTGAAACGTATCCATGGGCAGCGATCAATGGAACGAAGAATATCCCGCCGTTGCGACAGATCAACGCCGAAGACGTTGGCTTGGACGGTGGTGCTGCTAATGGATCAGATTCACAGGATCCATTGGTAAGTTGATTAAACGAAAATTGAATTCCACCCAGATTTCCAATCTGAAAATATTCAATAAGCATCGGATTTTTAATTAACTCAAATTTTTTCCCACTTTTCAAACAGTTAAACATGCTGATACGACTTCAAGAGGCTGCAAACTACACCAGCAACCCAGAACAAGAATCCGATTGTGCTAGTTTAGATTCGAATGTGACATTGGATAGTGCCAGTGAGAAGCTAGAAACGAACTAAAGCGATTTTCACTGAGTCACTCAACGATTTCGAATTGATCCAATGTTGGAGACAATAAATTAAAAGAGATCAAAGAAGAAGATAAAGTTTTGTATTTCAATCAAAGGGAAAATCATTCATATTGATGTCTAGAGGCCAAGAATGTATTTTTTTTTCTTCTTCTCTTTGTTATTTATAATCTGCGTAATTTGCATAACATTCGAACTGCATTAGAATGCATTCAATTTCGATAGAGTAAGAAATGCTGTCGTCATATCGCATATATATTCTTTTATCTGACAAGAAGATGTTGCAAATAGCGAGCAAAAGAAAACTTTATGTTGTTCTTTGTGTAGTAATGTTTTTTTTCTTCTTTTCTACGACGTATTTATTATATATATTTCAAATCACACGTTGACGACGCAAGACAGAAAGAGAAAAACAAAAATTGTAAAAGTGAATATATCAATAATAATATGATGAATGTGCGCTTATTTGTATATACACAACTACACTTTTTAATTTATCAAACCAAGAAAATAAAGAAAACACGATTTAAAATTTACACCCTTCGATAAAGGTAAAGAAAAATCAACTAAAATTGGATAAGAATTTGCATGTTAAACTGCTTTGAAACGAGAAGTAAACGACTTTATACACCCACACACACACACTCAATCTTTATACACTCACACCCAGAAGTTAATGCGTAATTTAAACAAAGATGAAGAATATTATAGCTATTTTGATGTCGTCATATACAACTGGATACATTTGCAATCGAATAAAAAGAGGAAAAAGAAAACAAGACACAAGCGCTAGTTATTATCTTATAAAATAGGGTCTAATGCAACAATTTTCGAACATGTTTCATATTATTATTTTGCGTAATCGTCGTTAGTATCGTCGATTTTGTTTAATTTTTTTCTTTTTAAATATAAATTCGGACTGATCTCTGTCGAATAAAATGTCGGAGGATAATCAAAATGTTCATGTTTTTAATCGATTTTTTTTTTCGTTCGGTCACACCGACATTCGTCGAATGTTAAGTTATCTTTATGGTAAATGTAAAGATCACATAAAACATTCCGATCGAACTGATTTTTTATGGAAATTGCAACAGCGAACAAATGTTGTAGGAAATTTCGTGATTTGGTTATCGCTAGTATTTAAAACACTGTGGTCTGTGCCATCACCTTTCACACACACACACACACACACACACAATACTTCGTTCTAACTAGAATCAAATTTCAAATGTCGAACAAAAAATAAATCAACCCTCAAGCAATCCAAATCGAATTCGCTCACATTTTTTTCTTTTGCGCAAACTTTTGTTTATTTTGAATAACTAAAGAACTCTTTATTGACATATACATATATGTTCTTTCCTAAAAAAAAAAACAAAATAATCTGCCTCATAACTATTAACTAAAAACTTTTTTTTTCTCTAGCAAGTAAGGCAAATCATTGTCAAATGTTATGCAAACGTTCACGGAAATGGCATCGATTTAGTGTCGCTTTCAATATTTTATAAAAAATAACCAGAGTTTTGGTGTTTGGTCTCAGAGCAAAATAGGGGCGATCTTGTTTTGTTGGTGAATTTTTGGTCTAGTTGAAGCTTTTTGCGTTTAATGAACGTTCAACTCATTCTATAAAGTTATACTTCAACCTGAGGTGAATGTTTGAGATGAACATCACATTGACTTTTCCACCAACGAAATATACTCACGTTATTTTTTGCTTTGAGACATTTCAATATATTATTATATATTCAATAAACATCAAAACCGTTTCGAACAATTGGCCGATAGCTGTCTATTTTGATATTATATCTCATAGCAACAAAACAATTTGGCAAAACATCCGAGAATATACAACAACAACACACAAAAACATGCGTAGAAATCGCATCATTTATGAAAATTTTAGAGAAATTTTTACTTGTAAATGGTACTTACATTATATATTATGAAATATTACATTTAAAAACAAATTATATACACACGTAAAACAAATTCATTATTATCATCGCTGCATTCGCTAATTTATTATCGATTATTTAAAAAAAATGAAGTATATATTATATTATGAACTCTTTTTGTTTTCTTTCGAAAATGTACGAGAAAAGGAAAACAAACACAAAATGAAAAACTAATCGATACAATTCAATAAAAATTGAACCAAATGCATGTCAACAATTAAGACGAACATTGTTTTTTTCATTTTATTTACTTACATTTCAGAACTTTGTGTATTGAAAAGAACCTGAAACAAAAATAAATTTCACATTGAGTCGAATAAAAAGCACACACACTGGATTGCGATCGAGATTAAAGCTAAGTACACAGTTCCTCGTGGAATGAAAAAATTTCTCCGGTGAAATTTTCACAGGTGATATTCGTATGGTGTTTTTTATTTTTGAATTGCAAGCATAATGATTTTTGATGTATAAAACAGCCAACTCATTCCAATGTCAACACGACACATGAACAAAGTTCGTTTTTGAGTTCATTCTTCTATGTGTTTTGTCTGAACAAATTTTTTTCACGGTCGTGAAAAATATTTCGCGTGCAAAATGTACGCGAATTTTTTTCACGGCCGTGAAAAAATAAGAAAGATCAAAATACATTGAAGAATGAATTCAAAATTCAAATTTGTTCATGTGTTGTGTTGATATTGGAGGGAGTTAACTGTTTTATACATCAAAAATCATTATGCTTGCAATTCAAAAATAAAAAACATCATACAAATATCACCTGTGACAATTTCACCGGAGAAATTTTTTCATTTCACGAGGAACTGTGTACTTAGCTGCGTGAAAACTATATTTGTTTTATTAAGATTCATACCGATAAGGTAACTAAAACTACAATAATTCTATTTCTCTAAATGTGCTATACGAAAATGGTTAGTGAAGAGATTCAATTAACATTTCGAAAATATTTGGCAAAACAAATTTTGTTCTTTAACTTGGAATTGATATACATTGTTCGTCAACCGCACTGAATACAGTTTCGTTGGGACATTTGCGTCGTGTGGCCACGACAATGCCTTTAGCAATATTCAGCACTTCACATTTGAGATAATGTGTATCGCTACTTTCATCGATGAAATTTCCAACTCGTTCGCATTCAGTTGGTTCACAGTCACGTGATATGTTTGGTGCACAATAGCCTCGTTCTGCATCAAATACACGTCCATCTTCACATTGTTCTTTTCGGATTTCATATACAGCTTCACCATCGGGGTAAGACAATCTATCCAACTTACATACAAAGTAAGTTTGGTTATTGTTAGGTGTCGGTAAAGCATGTCCATCGGCTTTACATTTGGGCAGCAATGGACACATCGCATAATTCTCAACACAGCGTTGAGATTTGGGGTCGAATACTTTGGGGCAGGTAAATATCCCATAGTTGTGCACGGTACTCCAACAATAATAGTACTTTTCACAACCGTCTGGATGCGTGAATCGACCGACTTTTGCGCACTTGAACTCCGATGCTGGTGGTGTTGTTGTTGAAATTATTGAAGTAGTGCTGACTGAATTACCCAATGAGTCTTCTGGCTCATTGGTTTGGCGGAGATAATAATCTGCTACTGTCGTTGCTTCTATCCAATCTGGAAATGTCGTTGTTTCTATCCAATCTGGAAATGTGGTTGTTTCAGTTTCCAATGTGTCTGTAGTTGACCATGATTTTGGTGTTGTGCCCATTTCAGTTGAATCGTCGTCAGTAATAATCACTCCATCCTTGGTATGCTTAATATCTCGAGATATTGCATTGACATAAGCCACAAACTGTAAATATTGAATGAAAACATTAAAAAAAAATGTCACCTAATTCACTTGTAAAAATTAAAATTTTTAAAAAAGCACAAAAAAATCACTAACCAAAGCAGCTAAAAGCAAGATGTGCAGCGATGATTTCATGTTTTTACTTCCTTAGATACGTTCTTGACAAACTGTTGGCTTCAACTGATTTTGAAAGTGAGAATATCAATATTCTAATTCTAGTCCCTGTCATACCACACTTTTTCTCCCGCTTGATATTTCGAATGATCATATTTTATGAGCTGAACGTGAGAAACCTAAAGTTAAGTTGATAAACAAACGTAGCCAGAAAAAAAATCTCCAATGGCCGACTCAGTCAAATAAGCTCAAAACAAACGGAACACATCCAGAAAATTATTTCGGTGAAATTCACCGATTTGGAATAGAATTATCGACTTGAACTAGAATTCATTTCGTTACTAATTGAAACAAAGTAGATGAAGCACACGACGATAATCTTACTTGCATCGTAATTTTTGTTTACACATATGTCATCAACGTACCAGCTTTCGATAGATAGAAACATTTTATCAACGTTCGTGCTTTTACAGTTTTTTTTCATAATTCTCAATGGCACGGTGTTTCATGAATTACTTTTCTGAATTCACTAGAAAATCAAACTGTAGTACATAAAACTTTATCATTTTGTTTGCAAAAATGCACTGGAGTTGAACGCAACGAAGAATCTATTTATGAATGACGAAGAGAATTACGTATAAGAATCTATTCAACATTTGTACATGTTCTGATGCCTGAAAAATATCTTCGACGATTATTTCAAAAATGCATGACTTTTTCAAAGGTGCAAAAAAAGTAGTTTATTGAAATCACATGAAAGAAACGGGAACCTATGCTAACAATAAAAATGTACAACTTTGATGTCTTAATATAGAAACATGATGTTTAAAACTTCTCAAAAGAACACACTCAATATTATAGCGACATCTATTATTAAAATAGCTTGTAGTAAACGCATTCATAGCATTTCACTGTAGTTGCGATGTTACCTATTAAATTCCCCTGTGGTATGTAGTTAACAAGTGTCAAACATGAATGTGTCAGTACTACAAGGGAACCTAATAGGCAACATCGCAACTACAGGGAAATGCTATAAATGCATTTACTACAAGCTATTTTAATAAGAGATGTCGCTATAATATTGAGTGTGAAGCTAGATTGAATGACAATCAGAAAAAGTCGATTTTGTATGGCCACGACACTGACAAGAGCACCGTCAGGATTGAAAGCGATAGTTGGAATCGTGAAACTTTAAGTGCATCAGCAACATTTGGATCCGGCATTTGATCATCCGATGGCACATGATGGATAATAACGATGATATTCGATTCGTTATTTGGCGGTGTAATAATGCTCGCTGCTGTTGTTTGATGCTGCATTATGTTTAGCGTTGAATTTGCGTTTCCAGTCCCATTTACTACAATAGTGCCGTTCACTGCAATTGGTTTTTCGTAAAACTCTTGTTTCGCTTCTGTCTCAGAATCCATATCATCAGCAAAACAAATCGCACTTGAACTGATTGACGACCAAATTACAACTATCACCCAGAAATGATGGCAGAATTTCAACTTCAAATTTCCCATTTTGATTAGCACTTGCACAATATCTTTTAGCTTGATGTCACTTGGACTCGTCTTCGAATTGAACTAAATTTACACACTCGATTTCACCGTTTTTATAGGTATTTGCCAATTGATGGATTCCGATGGTAATCATAAGCCGTATCATATATGACTAAATGTGTTTATGGCATGTTTTTCGCGCAATCGATTGAACACATCATAAAGTTTAGCTGGAATATTGGATTTATTGAAAAAAAACCAGAACCAATTAAATAATTCATAACATTTTTGTGCTATTCAACTTGCTGATTCATGCCAAAGGCTATAAAAAAAATTGCAACTAATTTTTGTACGAATTCACGGACAAACTGGATCAAAACCAAAATAAAAATGCAAAAGATTTCAATTCATGGTGCAATAGTAATATTTTAATCAGTCACTTGAAAATGATGGGGCCTATGTAAACAATAAAAATGTACAACTTTAATATCTCATGCGTTAGTATTGTATATGGTGTATTATTGGTAGAATTGAAGTGTCCGTGGTTGTTCATCATGTCCGATTTCGATTAGCGGTCGTTTTATGTGGGTCGTAGTGCGCATAGAGGGGATGGTAAGCATTGGTTGGCCGGCACAGAGAATGCATATCCAGGATCGCATTTCACTATGGAACAGTAAAGTATATCACCAGTTCGAATGCATGCCACATATTGGCATGGATTATTTATGATCGGTAAATAGCCGGTTTTTAATGCCATAATGTTGACAAGAGGACAGGAGGGAGCAGTGGTTGTTCTTACCGGTATAGTTGTCAAGATCGGACGGCTCGAAGTGGGCTGTATTTTTTTGCGATTTATTAGTAATTGGTAATGTTAGTAATGATCATAATGACTTATATAATTGAATGTTAAGATTGGATGCAGAAAGACCATGATTTTTATATAGTGATAACATTATTGCGGTTAAATTAATTGGTATTCAGCGTCACCTATCGCACACCATGTTCACTGTAGTAAAGAAACAGTGAGAGGGAAAGAGGGAAAAGCAGTCGGAAGTTTCGGTGAGAATTGTTAATACTGATGAAGTAACGAAGCTTCGCAGGAAGCATAAAAAAAACACCAAATCTGCACGTGGTAGCTCTCTATCTGGTTGAAGGCATGCACGTCATTACCCTTTTTCTCTCGCTAAGCCCGATCTATGCAGAGATTACTGATTCATTCTATCCAATCTTAGACATGATATATGCTATTAATTTTTTTATTAAACATACATTGGTAACAATTGGTCTAGAGGTCGATGTTGGGGT